CCCCACTTTTTGGCAAAAAATATATAATGTCTGGAGACTTTTGTATGATCGGAAATGCAAGAAAAGAAGGAGAGAAGAAGGAGAAGGATGGGAAAGAGAATGTTTATCCAGTACCGACCGAGTTACATTTTCTCGCAATTCACATTGGCAGATATGGGGCAGGGGGGTCATGGGTCCTGACCCCTCCCTTGGGCAACAAAAAAAAAGGAGAAAAGAAAATGAATTCTAGACCTACCTTTTCAGGACCCGTGAGCTGATTTTTTTTTTTTTTTTGTTACAATAAGAAAATTAGAATTTTGAACAACATAAAAGTCATTAAAACACACTTCAAATGTCGGGAAAGCCCATTTCCCGCCATCTAGGAATCAACATTTTCAAGGGGGGGAACCCCCGGACCACCCTTTTTGTGGGGGGATTTATCGATTCATAGCACAAAGAATACGCATGCAACTACTCATTTGTTTATGTATGTATACACACATAAAATAAAAAATGAGAAAAATTTACCTGACTGTTTTCAAGAGGGAATACCTTGAATTTTGAAGAACTTAAAATGTATTAAAATACATTTCAGAAGTCAGGAAAACTCATTTCCCGCCATTTAGAAATCGAAATTTTCCCGGGGAACACGGACCTTTTTCTTTGGAATTCATTGAATAATTGAATCATTTTCAAGAGGGGGGTGGGGGTGGCACCTTGAATTTTGAAGAAATTCAAAGTCATTAAAAGACACCTCAGAAGTCGGGAAAGCTTATTTCCCGCCACCTAGGAGTCAAAATTTTCCCGTGGAAGAACCACAGGAACCCCCCCCCCCTCCTTTTCTTTTTTGGATTGATCGATTCATGGAAAAAATACGTATGCAACTTGCTCAAACTTTTTTTTTATGTTTGTATACACACATAAGGCCTATTTACTGTAACAACAATGGGAAAAAATTATCTGACCGTTTTCAAGAGTGGAAATTAAATTAAAGTCATTAAAAGATACTTCAAAAGTCGGGAAAGCTCATTGCCCACCACTTAGAAATCAACATTTTCCCGGGAAGAACTCCAACCTCCCTTTCTTTTGGTTCATTGATTCATTATAATAATTTTCAAGAGTTCAAAAAATTTTGAAGAAATTACAAGTATTAAAAGACACCTCAGAAGTCGGGAAAGCTCATTTCCCGCCTTCTAGGAATCAACATTTTCCTGGGGGGGGGGACCCCCTTTCTTTTTGGGATTTATCGATTCATGGAAAAAAAAATCGTATGCAACTGCTCAATTTTTTGTGTAGGCCTATGTATACACACATACCTGTAAGGCCTATCTACTGTAGTATCAATGGAAAAAATTTACCTGACCGTTTTGAAGAGGGGAAAACCTTGAATTTTGAAGAACTTTCAAAGTCACTAAAAGATACTTCAGAAGTCGAAAAGCTCATTTCCAACCATTTAGAAGTCAACATTTTCCCGGGAAGAACCTGAACCCCCCTTTTCTCTTTGGGTTCACTGATTCATTATAATAATTTTCAAGAGGGGAAAACCTTGAATTTTTGAGGAATTTAAAGTAATTAAAAGACACCTCAGAAGTCGGGAAAACTCATTTCCCGCCTTCTAGGAATCAAGATCCCCCCCCCCACTCTTTTTGGGATTCATCTACTCATGGAAAATTCATATGCAACTACTCATTTTTTAACAATGTTTATGTATGTATACACACATAAAGCCTATTTACTGAATAACAATGGTAAAAAATTACCTGACCGTTTTCAAGAGGGAAAAACTTTGAATTTTGAAGAACTTAAAAGTAATTAAAGGAGACCCCAGAAGTCGGGAAAGCTCATTTCCCGCCTTCTAGGAATCAAAATTTTCTCGGGGGAGGACCCCCGGACCCCCTTTCTTTTTGGGATTCATCGATTCAATGAAAATTCGTATGCAACTACTCATTTTTTTAAAAATGTTATGTATGTACACACACATAACTGTTTACTGTAATAACAATGGGAACAAATTACCTGACCGTTTTCAAGAAGAGAAAACCTTGAATTTTGAAGAACTTAAAAGTAACTAAGACACCTCAGGAGTCGGGAAAAAGCTCATTTTCCGCCATCTAGGAATCAAAATTTTTTTTGCCCTTTTCTTTGGAGCTTATCGATTAATTGAAAAAAGAATACGATATGCAACTACTCATTTTCTTAAGGTATACACACATAACAGGCCTATTTACTGTAATGAGAAAGTTTACCTTACCGTTTTCAAGAGGGGGAAAAAAGGTCATTAGACACCAAGCTCAAAAGTCGAGAAAGGTCATTTCCAGCCGTCTAGAAATCTAAATTTTCCCGGGGACGAATGTTGACCCACCACCTAGGTTTGATTCCAGATCTGCATGATTCAGAGTCCCTTTCATCTTATAAGTGCCCCCCCCCCACTTTCAAAAACGTTCCGCCAGCCCTGTCCCCGACGGGGGCCCTGCGCCAAGTACGCCAAGTAAGAGAACGACAACAGACTAAGTTTTTTGGATGTACTCATACATAAACAGGATGATAAATTGAAAACTTCTGTTTTCAGACATCCTCCTTCAGTGGTCTATTATTAGGTTTTGTTAGCTATTGTCCTTTTAATTACAAATTAAGATTAGTCAACACACTTGTTGATAGAATTTACAAACTAAATAACACGTGGCTCGGTCTACATAATGATCTTTGTGACCTGAAAAATATCTTACTACGAAATGGTTACCCAATTCACATTGTTGACAAGTCTATTAAAAACTATTTAGATAACACAATCTCTGATATTACAAAGAAAACTGTCAATGATGACAATGTTAAAACACTTTTTGTTAAACTTCCATATGTTGGCATATTTTCTGACAACATGAAATGCAGAATTATGGTTCTTGTCAAAAAATACTGTATTGACTGTAAAGTGCATGTGATATTTAGTACCACTAAAATCAGTCAGTTCTTTAGTACTAAAGATACTATCCCCAATGAATCCCGAACCTCAGTAGTATATAAATTTAAATGTGCTGGATGTAATTCCAGTTATATAGGCTATACAGGCTGTAGATTAATTACGAGGATTGGTGAACATCTTGGAAAGGATAAAAATTCACACGTACTTAAACACCTTAACGCAAACAGTAAATGTAAAAGGTTGTCTGATAAGAAATGTTTCTCTATACTGGATATTGGTAACAATGAAATCAAATTGAAAATCAAAGAATCCCTTTACATAAAATGGAACAATCCTGATCTTAATTTGCAAATTAAACATGTTAACTTCAAGCTTATTTAAATATACACGTAAGCAATAGTTATTATGCAAGCGCTTGTTACCTTGCATTTAGCTATAGCTTCACAACCTTTTGTCAAACAAATCAATGTACCTGTTTATATATTCAACATAATAATTAGCTACACTTGGTCCATATTACAGACTTACTAGAGCTTTACTAACCTTTGGTTAAACAAATCATGGTATGAAATTATATATTCAGAATAATAATTAGCTACATTTAGTCCAGATTTCAGACTTACTATAGTTGGTCAAACTTATTGTCAAACAAATCAGTCTATCTATTTAATATTCAGCATAATAATTACCTATATAT